TTTGGTCTCTTCTGGCAAAGTGTATATTTTCATTTTGCATTGAACTTCAGATGGTATAAAGATTCAGTTTTAATATCTTTATGAATAATGAAATATTGATTTGTATCTGACAATATGTAATAAACGTAATATAATAATTCAGTATACTCAATTCTCAGAACCTCCTTTATCTAGGCTATGCTCTTATCGCTAAGTTATGCTGTAGCTGCAGTATTCCTATTTAAAACATATTCCTATTTATGTTATGTTTATAGATCCATGTACTGTACATCAAGTAGATTAAACTGAGCAGATTTCATCTTTACCACAGTTTTGATATTATTCTGCTCACCAGGTCTTTGGTCAGATTAGATTTCAAGTAGTTTTTTTTTCATTGTTTGTGGTGTGATTTGCCATTCAAAGTGTGCTGTTCCTAGAACTGTCGACCTGTTAAATACACTCATATGTGCATTCTTTCCTCAGAGTATGCCATTTACTAAATAGTGAATAAGACCTTGGTTTCAGACACAGTATATGTATGATTGCATATATATATTTATATTTTGCTACTGTATGTTTTCTTATCTGCCTCATGAGTTCAGGAGATTCCAGGATAGACATAAATAGAAGCAACATTTCCAGTTTCTCGTTATTCCTTTCTACATTAACAGCTGATGGTCACATCATAGAAACCAATGTTGCTAGAAACACCGGATATTGACTACTGTCTGAACAAACAGATCTGATTTCATCAAGCACAGTCAGATTTGAAAACCAAATCAGATTTGTGTGCAGTGTGAACAAAGCCTTAGTATAACTGCTATTGTTAATGGCATTGTGCTCAGGCTGATTAAATATAACGCCTCCGTCTTCACTGTTTATGAGCTACAGAAAAATTGGACTACTGTGTGAAATCTAATTAGGCCGCTAATTGGTAAATGGGGTCCATATAGATAGGCCTTGCATTAAAAGGCATATTACCCAGATGACTTGCACAAACTAGGCTAATTGTATCAGTCAGAGTTGCAATAGTCAAAGTCCTGTTCCAATCTTATCAGAAATGTTTCTCAGATATGGCTGTGCTGTTTCTGCTTCCATCATTTGTATGAATTTTTACACTAAAGCTGGGCTATTCTATGATGCAATTTTGTCATGCATAAAAATGTCTTCAACATTTTTCTGATGCAAACTTAAATGGTTATTTCACCCAAAAAATGAAAATTTGCCTGTTTCACTCTTGAAGCATCGTAGGTGTACGTGACTTTCTTCTTTCAGATGAATCCAATCGTTTTAATTTGTAATCCAAATAAAATGTGATTTAATCCAGTCCTGCCCCTCCAAGCCTTTCAATTGGGGTAAACGGGAGTTTGTTGTCAACAGTTCGTGCATCCATAATAAAATGTCCCTCACACGGCTCTGGGGGGTGAATATAGGACTCCTGTAGTGAATCCATGTATATTTGTAAGATAAATATCCATATTTCAAATGTAATAAACACTTTCTCTCACTTCCGCTGACTGTGGAACGAGGAAGACATCGTGCGTCGTGCGCGCGCCTCTGAGAAATGCAGGAGCAAAAGAAGCAAAGTTTCCTTACTTTAGCAAAGGAAAACCAGTCTCCTCTTGGCTTAGATCGAAATTGGATTGAATCCTCCGACATTTTTCTTTACAAATCTTCGTTTTGTGCTTCTAATTCATGACCGTTTTGTTTTGTTCTCTTGAGCAGTTATTTACGGCATTTATTTATCTTTTTTTTTTTTTTTTTTTTTTTTTATACAATAAAAACTTACTGGACAACTCGAAGTCTACTCATTTTTTGCACTAATTATTCCAGATTTTAGGATGATAAAAATGTCAAATTTGTTACCATGATAATTGAAAAAAAAATTGCATTTGTAGAAATATCAAATTAACCTGTAAAGCCCTCAACCGTTTCACTTTTCTGAAAGCACAATTAGATTTTATATTACATTTTATTATTTTTGCATTAGATAGCAATGGATAAGTACTTAAACACACACAGTGGGTATAGAAAATAATCACCCTCCTTTAAAATAATCACATTTTGTTGCTTTGCTGCCTGAAATGATGACAGACACAGTTTTGGTTTTATCCAGCTGTATTTACTCAGTGCAACTTATAATA